CAAGCTCGGGCTTTGAGACCAGGCTTCCAATGACTGTGCGTCGGTTAGTCTGGACTTTGTGGGCAAAAGAAGAGAGACAGCTCTGCCCAATGATTTGCGAATGAACCACAAGCCTGGTTATGCGCCCTGACCGGGAATCAAACCCATAACCCTTCTGTGCATGGGACGACACTCCAAACAGCTGAGCCCCCCAGCCCGGGCCCATCGTAATCATTTTAAGTGTACAGCTTAGTCGTGTTAAGTATATCCACACCGTTGTGTAACCAGTCTATAGGACCTTTCATCCTACAAAACCAACATTTTACAGCCATTCAATAACTTCCCATTTCCCCTTCCTCAGTCTCTGGCAACCACCATTCTACTATCGGTTTCTATGAATTTGACCACTCTAGGTGCTTCCTATAAGTGAAATCATACAAGGGGTCCTTTTGTGACAGACTTAGTTCACTTAGCATAACGTCCTCCAGATGTATCCCTGTGGTGGCATGTGCTGAATGTATTCTATTGTATGTATATATCACATTTGCTTACCCATCCATGAACATGTGATTATTTTACTATCAGCTTATTGTAAATTTTTTCCTGCCTCCCTGCCCCCCCCCCCCCCCACTGGGATTAAGCTTCTTGAGGACGGGGACAGTCTTTCTAGCTTCACTGTATTCCCAGTGCCCAGCATTGTGCTCAGCACATAAGAGGGGCTTGAGAAGTAGTTATTCACTGCATAAATGAATACAGTGGGGGCTTGACTTACGAGTGCCCCGACTAACGAGTTTTTTGAGATACCAGCTGTCTTTCGGCCAATTTTTTGCATTGAGTTGATAGAGTAATTTGAGTTAACGAGCTCCTTAACAAGCTCGGTCTCGGAACGAATTAAACTCGTAAGTCAAGGCCCCACTGTATCTAATTCCAGGTATTCCTTAAATTAGTCCAGCGTGCTACAGTTTACAAAGTGCTCTTCACAACGACTTTCTGAGGCAGATCCCATTTTCTCAATAGTCAGAGAGGTTCAGTGTTTTGCCCAAAACCACGCAGCTAGACTAACAAGAGATCCAGCCCCGGTGTGTGACTGCTGCGTCGAGTGCTCTTTCAGCGGCACCGTGCTGTCCCCCTGGAGGTATAACTGACCTCAGCCTGGCAGGCTTGACGGGCCTTACCTGCTCATGTAGACAGAAAACATGGGTACGTCCACCAGGTTCTGGGCCATCATGTTGTCGAACACTGGAGTCACCCCTCCAACAGCCAAGGAGGGGTACCCCAGGCCCAGAATGCCATCGAACTCTGCGTCCACAAAGGTCTGGCCAGGCTCCGTGACACTCTCTCCAAACTGCTGGCCGACCACAGTCAGCCCTTCCACCTGACGGGAGAAAGCCCAGAGGGAATTTGCCCAGGAGCTCTTTGGCAAAGGGCCTCCGATCCCCAGCTTCTCCTCTCTCCTGAAGCTAATTCTTCTCCGACTCAACCTTTCTTGATTAAATGGGCACAACGATTTTCGCCATAGTCCCACTCAATGTTTAAATGGAAACTCTTTTTGCCGAAGTATAATACAGAAATCGTAGGTGTGCCGTTCAGTGAGGGTTCACAAACTGTACTCACCCATGTGAGCAAGCTCCCAAACTGAGCAGCAGGGCATGGCAACCCCCAGAGGCCCCCAGCACCCTGCCAATTTTCACACCTTTCCTCACAAGTGACCCGTCTCCTGGTTTCTAACAGCCTGTATTGGCTTTGCTTATTTTTTAATTTTATATAAATGGAATCATACAGTTTGAATTCTTTGGTAGCTGGCTTTTGTCACCCAACATTATGCTTGTTGCATGCTGTTTTAATTTGTTCATTGTCTTTGTATTACACAATCTGAATATGCCATCAGCATGTATGCATTCTACCATGAGGCATATATGGGTTGCTTCCTGTACTTGACTATTGCTAATAATGCAGCTTGTACTTGTCTTTGGGTGAACACGTGTACATGTTTCTGTTGGATATATGTTTGGGAGTAAAATTGTTAGGTCATAGAGTATGCGTAAATACTGACAGAACTGAATAAATATTGACAGAATTTTCCAAACTGATTTGTACCAATCGATGTTTTCAGTACCAATATTTTGAGAGTTCCTATTGCCAATAGCTTCATATCTTCACCAACACTGGACGTTGCCTTCTTTTCCTTCTCAGTCTTCTGGTGGATATGCAGCGGGTACATTTGGTTTTCATTTGTATTTCCTGGTGACTAATGACATTGGACGTTGGATAGTTCCTTTTGTGAAGTAGGTTGTCTGCATTTTTCTTATTGATTGGAATCAAGTCCTTTGTTGGATGTATATATTAGAAACATCTCTGGACTGTGGCTGGCGTTTTTACTCTCTAATGGTGTTTTTTGATGAACAGAAGATATGTATTTCAATATAGTCAAATTTATCAATCTTTTTCTTTTTAATTAGTGGGTTTTATAACTTTAGAAAATTTTGCCTACCTAAAAGCTTTATTGTTTCACTTTTACCATTTATATCTATATTCTATGAGAAGTTCTATGATGTGTGAGGTAGGAGTCATTATAGATTCTCTTTTTTTTAAATATATGGATATCCAGATGACCTAGTACCATTTAATAATTGGTACACCATCATTTCCTCCACTGCAGTATCATGTTCAATGTAGGTCAGGTGACTGTATGAGTAGTCTCTGAATTTTCTATTTTGTTCTATTTTTCTATTTGCCTATCCTGTGTCAATATTACATATCTAAATTACTATATATTCATAATGTCTTATACTTGGTAGTATTTTTCTTCATCTAGATTGTATTACATATTCATATAAATTTTAGAATTGGCTTGTCAATTTCTAATAAAAATTGCTCTTGTTTTGATTGATGAAAAATTGACTTATTTATAATACTGAATCATAAGCATGGTTTATCTTCAATTTATATAGGTCTTTCTTAACTTCATTCAGAAATATTTTGCAGTTTTTAGAGTAGAGATCTTGCACATTATTTTGTTACTTGTAGGTATTCAATACTTGTAGGTATTCGATGTTTTTGATGTTATTATAAAACATCATGATATTATGAAGTGTCCCATATATATATATATTGATTTCAGAGAGGAAGGGAGAGAAATAGAAACATCAATGATGACAGAGAATCATTGGTCAGCTGCTTCCTGCATACCCCACACTGGGGATCGAACCTACAACCCAGGCATGTGCCCTTGGCCGGAATCCAACCCGGGACCCTTCAGTCTGTAGGCTGATGCTCTATCCACTGAGCCAAACCAGCTAGGACAAGTGTTCTTTCTTTATCAGTTATCTGGGAGAATTTGTGTAAGGTTGATGCTATTTATTTGGAAGAATTTACCACTGAGGTTACCTGGCCCTGGAGTTTTCTTGTGAAGAGGTTTTTAATAACAGTCAATATTTAAATAGACATTGGAGTATCATATTTTCTATGTTTTTCTTGTGTCAGTTTTAGCATGCTGTATTTCTCAAGGCATTTACCATTTTTTAAAAAAAATTGTCAAATTTATCAATATAAAATTATTCTTGATATCCTATTATCATTTTAATGTTTCAGGGTCTTTATTAATGCATTATTTTTCATTTCTAATATTAAGTTGTATTTTCTTTCAGTTTTTAATTAATTTTGCTAGAGGTTTATGAATTTTATTAATCTTTGTAAAGAGTTAATTCTTGGTTTTGTTGATTTTCTTTATTGTATGACTTTTCTGTTTAATTGACATCCATCCCATTCTTCTATTTATTTCCATCCTTCTTTCTTTGGGTTTGATTTGTTGTTGCTTGTGGTTTGCTTGTTTTCTTATTTTTTATTGCTTAAATGGTTGGTTTTCAGCTTTTCTAGTATATACATTTCAGGCTATAATTGTCTCATAAGGGTTGCATTAGGTGCATCCACAATTTTTGGCACGTCCTTGCTTATCTGTATCAGAGAAGCAGAGCCATTAGGAGCTACATACACAAAGGATTGTATTCTGGACAGTTGACTGTATGCCATGGCAGTGCTGGTTAAATGGTGTACAGTGGGAATTCGCTTTGTCCTGGTGCTGCAGACTGAAGTCTACAGTTTGGCAGTCAGTCAGGGAAGACAGGTGTCAGGTGGGAGAAGGGTGAATTGGAACTTCGAGGTTGAGGGTGGACTAGAACCCACATTGTTCTCTCACTGCCTCTAAGCCTCAATGCTGGGCGTGTCCTGTAGCCCTTGCCGTCACTGTCCGTTACGGAGTTAAACGTGCAGCTGGGCTGGGAGCCAGGAAACTTGAAGGAGGAACCAAGGGAAGCTGCAGTTGCCATGGGCTTGGCTGTTGCCCCACACCACCCAGCGAGCCAGCAGATAAGCAGCAGCAAAGGACACAATTCCCCTTCCATGCCCGCCTCTGCTTCCCAGGGGTAACTATGATGATCAGTCAGGAATGTGACGTAGCCTTCTAAGCAGTCATTTGCGCCTTTACATATGTTCTAATAGAAAGTACAGTGTGTTGTTTTATCTGTATGTGGTATTTTTTTACATAGACGCTGTGTTTCTTGCTCTTGTTTCACTTCATGTGTTCTACTCCCACCCACTTTAAAGGGATGTTGATGGAGTCTGAGCCCTGTGGCAGGACCCCCCAGAACTGTAACAGTGCTCATCAGGTGTGGGTCAGCCTCTATTTCCCCAAAGGCCTGGGCATAAACAATGGTCCCCCCTTATCCACAGGGTGGACATTCCAAAACCTCCAGTGGAAGCCTGAAAATAAGGATAATACTGAACCCTACATATGCTGTTTTTTTTCCTATATGTACCTATAATAAAGTTTAATTTATAAGTTAGGCACTGTAAGAGATTAACAATAGCTAATAATAAAATAGAACAAAACAATACACTAATAAAAGTTACTTAAAGTGATCTCTTTTTCTCCCTTTGATAACTGATCTGATAACAGAGTTGTCTACCAAGTGATTAATGGGCAGAGAGCGCATACAGTGTGGATACGCTGGACGAAGGAACAATCCACATCCCGGGTGGGACAGAGTGAAGTAGTGCAAGACTTCATCCTGCTCCTCAGATCAGCGTGCAATTTGGAACTTAGGAATTGTTTATTTCTGGAATTTTTTATTTCATACTTTCAGGCTGTGGTTGGCTGAGGATAACTACAACCACAGAAAGGGAAACCGTGGAAAAGCGGGGACTACTGCTCCTGTGCCCATAAACCTGGGTAGGGCAGGACCGGGGCTCCCCTGGCTCTCTGTCCCCACCTTGGTCAGGTTCCCACAGTTCTGGGACCCATGGGACCTTTGGTCAAAGGGAGTTTAAGGAGCAGCTCACGAGCTCAGCATCGAGTTCAGGGCTGACCTGGGACTTGAATTCTGCCTTGTCTCTATGATTGGACTCCCAGCCCCTACCTTGTTGCCTTATTTCAGTAACTGAGTTCCCACCGTCTGCCCCGGCTTGGGCATCTTCTTCCTTCAAGATGGAGGCCTGGTCTTGTCTCCTTGGTGCCCTGGGGCCGTTGTCCAGTTGTGAACCCTGCCACCAGGTGCCCTGTGTCCTGCAGGAATCCCCCCTCCCCCCGCTGCCTCTCTAGGACCCAGCACATGGCACAGACTGGCCCACGGCCGCATCTCAGGCCAGGCCAGGCCTCCCCCTTCCCTGGAAGCCAGCTCCAGCTCCTTGCTTCCACCTCTTCCTGCAGCAGATCTGAAACTGCTCCCCTAAGAGCTCTGAACGGTGTTCTGTCTCCCAAGTTCCTGACCTAGAGAGGGAACATGAAGGAATTATACTCACAGAGACCTGGTCGGCTCCGATGACTCCGGACAAGCTCCCCGTCCCGTACTGAATGAAGAAGTGGCTCCCTGCAGCACTGTACGTGCTGGACCGGGAAGGGCTGAACCTGGGGTGTGTCTCTGGAAAGCAAGGATGCCGCTCTTGCCTGGGCCACCAGCTCGCTGCCACCATCCCTGCCCCGACATCCCAGCATGCAGAGATGGTTCCCTAACTTCCACTGTTGGCCCAACCAGCAGCTCCTCTCTCGCTCTGCCTCAGCCTTCCTTGCCACCACTCCTTTCTTTTCCACGGGCCAGTGGGAACCAAATCTCCCTAACTGACCGTCTGAGGACACAGTGATGAGCAGGTGCATCTGGAAAGGTTG